GGACCTTACAATTGCCTCGCAGTACCCTTCCTACTAGTCGGGCTAATCCCGGAGTTTGCCTTCAACTTTATTCGGCCACTGCTACGACTTAGCGATCATCGATCTCGACTGTTCTCCTTAGTTTTCCTTCTTGTAATCCGAACATTCATTCAAAAGGGTTACTCCAAGTTTCGAATTGCAGAATTTGAAGAAGACTATTGTCCCGAAATTAGCCGCATAAAGTTGAAATTAACCCCGGCGACTAGAACAGAAACAACTAGACAAATGCACGGTAACTACTGTCAGTAGTAACTACGGGATAATTGTGTGACACAGGTGAATCGAAGTGCGTCAGGCTTATTGAAAATTTCGGTATCCTTTCCTATTTCCTTATAACCACGGAATTTTATCTGAAAACCCTTTGTCTGAATTTTTAGTATGTGCTCTATGTACTCCTTTGATGGTTATCGAGGTGGCAATGTTGCGTCTTTCCAAAACCAATAAATCACTTTTTCAACTAGCAAGAAAACTTCGCCTTCGTAGGAAGAATGACTGCCATATTGATGAATCCAAAAACAATTCTCAACTGGAGACATTTGCAGTACTGTTCAATGAAACTTGAGAACACAGTAACTTTTGAACATCACCAGAGCACGTTGGGATAGACCAAATAGAAAACATAAGAGAATGACTGTGAAACCTGATACCATGTCCACCCATCTTTCTTTTTCCTTTCCCATGTGCACTTAACCAGGTCACCACTGTTTTATACCCACGTGTCCAATCTCTTTCCATATTGGTCCACGTAACTGCTCCATGAAGCCATCATGCGGTCTCGCATCCAACATCGCTGTTACTCCGAAACCTCCCAAAAAGGACACCCGCAGTCCCCCAGGGTTTTTTTGTTGCGCTCGAACATGGCAGAGGTGTGAAGGGGATTACAGCGGGAAATTTGGTAAAAGAAACTTGTAAGAACACTTTACATGCCTTTTTTAGTCGGCGCTGGCGTTGAATTGCGAGATTACCCTCCTACACGGGAGACAACGGGAGCTAAATGAGACGCAGACATCAACGCAAACATGAGAGTGTGTGTGCATAATAGGGTGCGAATGACTGTTTCACGGGTCACTTTCTCTGCGTTTACGGACCCAGCTTCCTTATATTCAGAAGGAACCATTTCAATGAGCAGGTGGATTATGTCTCAAATGAGGTTGAATAAAGGTGTTTGTATTACTAAACTACAGCCTTTGGGGCCTTTACACAGAACGAAAATCGACGAAGAAGGTAAATGATCTGAAGATTTATCGAATAAAAATGTTCCACTGCAATGGCAGGATTTTGCAAACTGATCAACTCACTGCTTACACTCTCACTATAACATGAACATCGTTGATAACCCTATACTAGAAACCACATTAAACTGTTCACCGTAATGTTAGCGAAAACACACACTATAAGAGGTAGCAATAATTACATCGGCGGACTGTTAGTTACACTAGAAGGTCAAATATACACGCGCCAATCTTATAGAGTTGCGAGGTAAGAGCTTGGGCTTGCAATTAATAAACTGTACCAACATTTTAGGTAGTTTGCGAGAGAAAAATCATCACCCTACGGGAAGCTCTAAGAGTAAAGGGGAAAGATTGCTTAGCAAAATGCAAAAGTGTTACCAGATTTTATAAGGAAATTTATATGAGGCAAAATGCATTCCCCAGAGCGGAATTCGAAAGAAAGATGGCGTCATAGAGGCGATCCAATTGAATCCAAAGAATTCGAGAGCCGTTGCAACGCGACGGATGTCCATGGGTAGACTGCCTGAAAAAGGGAATGATGGGAAAAGAATGGAAAAGGAGCTATCATCGCTAGAATGGGAAACCAAAAAAGAGCAACGAAAATAGTTCGCTTCAATGTTCATGAGTCGAGCATAAGCGTCTCAATAATAAAATAAAAATAAATGTGTTCCTCTTTAAGCTACGAAAATCACTACCGACTTTGGAAGAAATTCCTGAATTTCGCGCAAATGGATTACGGTAGCTTCCATAGCGCTTCACTAATTAGAAGCGCTGCTATGACATTGCGTGGCTCAGTTCCACCTAATTTTTTCTGCACAATTTTCAGGAGACGGAGCTAATTTAATATTTTAATTTTCCAACTTCAAGCCTAAGTTCCTTTTCAAAAACTGAAATTAAGAGTTTTGAAGCTTCACGCACGCCCGTTTCAGCAGCTACAAATTGCTATATAAGTCAACCAGAACAATTCTTTCCATGTGTCCAATTCATTGTGAGCCGCTTGATTGGTTGAGCACCCTAAGAAGATGTTCGTTTGCATATGAACTCCAGGAAGAATGTGCGGTGGAATGGCAATGGCGGCATTTACTAAGCATAAGGCCTGGAAATAAATTGCTAGCATACGAGTTTATAGAGATAAAACCATTGACTCTACATCGACAGGTCCCGCAAGTCACTGTAAGGCCAAAGTACCATTAAAATGCCATTGCGACACTAAATAAGTACAATTAGAGGCGCATCCCATAATAGGGCTAGCGAACGCAGGGTCAGCGCTGGCCGGCCAAGTATGAGCGTCCGCTACCACGCTAGTTAGTTGGAAGTCCAACTGACTTTCAACTTATTAGCGCTTTAGCGTGGCAGCGGAGTTTTCCGCTCATATGGTGGAACCGTTGGCCTCTGAAGACGACGATTCAGTCGAAACGTTAGGCCTTTGAAATAAATGTTCCACCAAACAACCTCGTAAGGCACAAGAAATTAACAGACTTCCACCCAACATTGCAAGAAAAGAAAAGTTGGAGAATACTGATAACTATCAATCCTCTCTCAATGATATAAGAGTCTTGTGTTTGGTGCTCTTATTTCGTTACCAAAAAAGTGTTCTCTAGCTATGACATCCTCGA